GAGATCCACACCTAGACACATTATAATGAAGATGCCCAACATACAGAATAAGGAGAGAATTTTAAAAGCTACAAGAGAAAGGAAGCAGATTACATTTAGGGGTAAGCCAATCAGGATAACAGCTGATCTTTCAACACAGACTCTGAAAGCTAGAAGATCCTGGAATAACATATTTCAAACACTGAAAGAAAATGGGTTCCAACCAAGAATTGTGTATCCAGCGAAATTAAGCTTCAGGATGGAAGATGAAATTAAAACCTTCCACGATAAACAAAAGTTTAAAGAATTCGCAGCTAGAAAACCATCTCTTCAAAACATCCTCGCCAAAGCATTACAGGAAGAGGAAATGGAAAATAACAATGAAAACCAACAGTGGGAGGTAGGACAGTAAAGGGGGGGGGGGATAATCAAAGAGGAAAACAAACCATGTTTAGTAACAGAAATAAACAAATATGGCTGGAAGAACAACCCATATCTCAATAATAACCCTAAATGTTAATGGCTTAAACTCACCAATTAAGAGACACAGGCTAGTAGAATGGATCACAAAACAAGACCCAACAATATGCTGCCTACAGGAGACGCATTTGATAGGAAAAGACATACATAGGCTGAAGGTGAAAGGTTGGGAAAAATCATATCACTCATATGGACTTCGGAAACAAGCAGGAGTGTCCATACTCATATCAAATAAAATAGATTTCAAGCCAAAGTTAATCAAAAGGGATAAAGAGGGACACTACATACTGCTTAAGGGAACCATACACCAACAAGACATAACAATCATAAATATTTATGCCCCAAACAATGGTGCAGCTATGTTCGTCAAACAAACTCTTCTCAAGTTCAAGAGTCTAATAGACCACCATACCATAATCATGGGAGACTTCAACACACCTCTCTCGCCACTGGACAGATCTTCCAAACAAAAGTTGAATAAGGAAACTATAGAACTCAATAACACTATTAATAACCTAGACCTAATTGACATATATAGAGTATACCACCCAACATCAAGCAGTTACACTTTTTTCTCAGCAGCACATGGATCCTTCTCAAAAATAGATCATATATTATGTCACAGGGCAACTCTTAGACAATATAAAGGAGTAGAGATAATACCATGCATCTTATCTGATCATAATGGAATGAAACTGAAAATCAACGATAAAAGAAGGAAGGAAAAAGCATACATCACTTGGAGAATGAACAATAGGTTACTGAATGATCAATGGGTTATAGAAGACATCAAGGAGGAAATTAAAAAATTCTTAGAGATTAATGAAAACACAGACACAACATATCGGAATCTATGGGACACATTGAAAGCAGTTCTAAGAGGAAAATTCATTGCTTGGAGTTCATTCCTTAAAAAAAGAAAAAACCAACAAATAAATGATCTCATACTTCATCTCAAAATCCTAGAAAAAGAAGAGCAAAACAACAGCAAAAGAAGTAGAAGGCAAGAAATAATTAAAATCAGAGCTGAAATTAATGAAATCGAAACAAAAGAAACAATTGAAAAAATTGACAAAACTAAAAGTTGGTTCTTTGAAAAAATAAACAAAATCGACAGACCCTTAGCCATGCTAGCGAAGAGAAGAAGAGAGAGAACTCAAATTACTAGCATACGGGATGAAAAAGGCAATATCACAACAGACACTTCAGAAATACAGAAGATAATCAAAAACTATTTTGAATCCTTATACTCCAACAAATTAGAAGATAGTGAAGGCATAGATAAATTTCTTAAGTCATATGTTCTGCCCAGATTGAGTCAGGAGGATATAGAAAACCTAAACAGACCAATATCAATTGAGGAAATAGAAGAAACCATAAAAAGACTACCAACTAAGAAAAGCCCAGGTCCGGATGGGTATACAGCAGAATTTTACAAAACCTTTAAAGAAGAACTAATACCAATACTTTTCAAGCTACTTCAGGAAATAGAAAAGGAGGGAGAACTTCCAAATTCATTCTATGAGGCCAACATCACCCTGATACCTAAACCAGACAAAGACACTTCAAAGAAAGAAAACTACAGACCAATATCTCTAATGAACCTAGATGCAAAAATCCTCAATAAAATTCTGGCGAATCGGATACAAAAACATATCAAAAAAATTGTACACCATGATCAAGTAGGATTCATCCCTGGGATGCAAGGCTGGTTCAATATACGGAAATCAATAAATGTTATTCACCACATCAATAGACTTAAAAATAAGAACCATATGATCATCTCGATAGATGCGGAAAAAGCATTTGACAAAGTACAGCATCCCTTTATGTTCAAAACTCTAGAAAAACTAGGGATAACAGGAACATACCTCAATATTGTAAAAGCAATCTATGCTAAGCCTCAGGCTAGCATCATTCTGAATGGAGAAAAATTGAAGGCATTCCCTCTAAAATCTGGAACAAGACAGGGATGCCCTCTCTCACCACTTCTGTTCAACATAGTTCTCGAAACACTGGCCAGAGCAATTAGACAGACGAAAGAAATTAAAGGCATAAAAATAGGAAAAGAAGAACTTAAATTATCACTATTTGCAGATGATATGATTCTATACCTAGCAGACCCAAAAGGCTCTACAAAGAAACTATTAGAGCTAATAAATGAATTCAGCAAAGTGGCAGGATATAAAATCAACACGCATAAATCAAAGGCATTCCTGTATATCAGCGACAAATCCTCTGAAATGGAAATGAGGACAACCACTCCATTCACAATATCTTCAAAAAAAATAAAATACTTAGGAATCAACCTAACAAAAGAGGTGAAAGACTTATACAATGAAAACTACAGAACCCTAAAGAGAGAAATAGAAGAAGATCTTAGAAGATGGAAAAATATACCCTGTTCATGGATAGGCAGAACTAACATCATCAAAATGGCGATATTACCAAAAGTTCTCTATAGGTTTAATGCAATGCCAATCAAAATCCCAACGGCATTTCTTGTAGAAATAGAGAAAGCAATCATGAAATTCATATGGAAAAATAAAAGACCCAGAATAGCAAAAACAATGCTAAGCAGGAAGTGTGAATCAGGCGGTATAGCGATACCAGACTTCAAACTATACTACAGAGCAATAGTAACAAAAACAGCATGGTACTGGTACCAAAACAGGCGGGTGGACCAATGGTACAGAATAGAGGACACAGAAACCAATCCACAAAACTACAACTATCTTATATTTGATAAAGGGGCTAAAAGCATGCAATGGAGGAAGGATAGCATCTTCAACAAATGGTGCTGGGAAAACTGGAAATCCATATGCAACAAAATGAAACTGAATCCCTTTCTCTCGCCATGCACAAAAGTGAATTCAAAATGGATCAAGGAGCTTGATATCAAATCAGAGACGCGCCGTCTGATAGAAGAAAAAGTTGGCTACGATCTACAGTCGGTGGGGTCGGGCTCCAAATTCCTCAATAGGACACCCATAGCACAAAAGTTAATAACTAGAATCAACAAATGGGACTTACTCAAACTAAAAAGTTTTTTCTCAGCAAAAGAAACAATAAGAGAGGTAAATAGGGAGCCTACACCCTGGGAACAAATCTTTACTCCTCACACTTCAGATAGAGCCCTAATATCCAGAGTATACAAAGAACTCAAAAAATTAGACAATAAGAGAACAAACAACCCAATCAACAAATGGGCCAAGGACCTGAACAGACACTTCTCAGAGGAGGACATACAGTCAATCAACAAGTACATGAAAAAATGCTCAACATCTCTAGCTGTCAGAGAAATGCAAATCAAAACCACCCTAAGATACCATCTCACTCCAGTAAGATTGTCAGCCATTAGGAAGTCAAACAACAACAAGTGCTGGCGAGGATGTGGGGAAAAGGGTACACTTGTACATTGCTGGTGGGACTGCAGATTGGTGCAGCCAATTTGGAAAGCAGTATGGAGATTTCTTGGAAAGCTGGGAATGGAGCCACCATTTGACCCAGCTATTCCCCTTCTCGGTCTATTCCCTAAAGACCTAAAAAGAGCATGCTACAGGGACACTGCTACATCGATGTTCATAGCAGCACAGTTCACAATAGCAAGACTGTGGAACCAACCTAGATGCCCTTCAATAGACGAATGGATAAAAAAAATGTGGCATTTATACACAATGGAGTATTACTGTGCATTAAAAAATGACAAAATCATAGAATTTACAGGGAAATGGATGGCATTAGAGCAGATTATGCTAAGTGAAGCTAGCCAATCCCTAAAAAGCAAATGCCAAATGTCTTCTTTGATATAAGGAGAGTAACTAAGAACAGTGTAGGGACGAAGAGCAGGAGAAGAAGATTAACATTTAACAGGGATGAGAGGTGGGAGGGAAAGGGAGAGAGAAGGGAAATTGCATGGTAATGGAAGGAGACCCTCAGGGTTATACAGTGGAGGAGGTAGAGAGAGAGGAGGGGAGGGGAGGGGAGAGGTGGGGAGGGGGGAGGGTGGAGGATGGGAAAGGCAGTGGAGCACAACAGACACTAGTATGGCAATTTGTAAATCAATGGATGTGTAACTGATGTGATTCTGCAATCTGTGTATGGGGTGAAGGTGGGAGTTCATAACCCACTTGAATCAAAGTGTGGAATATGATATGTCAAGAAATTTGTAATGTTTTGAACAACCCACAATAAAAAATTAAAAAAAAAAGATCCTTTAGTATTAAAACTTGGGGGAAAACCCAATCTTTTGTCTCTGTAATCTAAAGTTTAGACATTTTATAGGTATCAGGTACTTGAAATACGGGCAAGGAGCCTAGGCGGGAACTAACCAGCTTCTCTAAGATTTGTCCTATTCTTAGATTAAGATGGCCAACATCCTATGATATTCACAATGCTTAAGCTTAGAAATGGGATGGTTTGCCTGCATTAATCAGTTATCTTGTGAAAATTTTTGGTGCCAATTCAAAATTTGGTCCTTGTAACTTTTTATTCTGATCTTCATTCAAGGTCTCTTAATCTCACTAAACAGCTGCACTTACCTTGTGATTTCTGTAGTAAGTTCAATGTTTCTTCTTCCAGTTCTTCAATAGTTATAGCACCAAGAGAAGTACTGTCTAAAATCTGGAAGCGTTGATATTCTAAATGAGGAACTTCATGACTTAATATAGTAGATAAGAGTTGATCTTGCAAACCTTGGAATGTTACTATGACATTGATCATAGTAACAAAATTATAAACTGATGGAAGAAAATGGGGATTGTCTATTTCTGTAGATAAGTATAACCTAAACACAACAAAGATACCAGTTATTCAAAGAATATACAGAAGGAGAAAAATAAAACAAAATTACTTAATAATGCAAAACATTTTTTTTCCTGGAAGAAGACAAGGTTAATTTTTAGTATTATTCAGCCTTGTAAACAAAGTAGTCTCTCAACTTACATTGTGTGAATAAGTTTCTATTTAAGACTTTAAAAAACACAATCATAAATTAGGTTCAGACCATATTTAAACATGAGGACAGAGTAAAGAAAAATGCTAAAGAGTAGGAGTTATGACCTGGAACTAGGCCATTTTTAAAGACTGGTTTTTACCCTGAATGAGAGAAGTCAGTTAGGGGATTTGAGCAGAGAAGTGATATGATCTTTTTAAGTGACCTCTCTAGCTGCTATCTTGAGAACAACCTGGGCAGAGGTGGGAGGTAGCAAAATGGGAAGTTAGGTCGTGAGAGATGAAGGTGGCTTAGAACAGGGTGGTGGCCCTGAGAGTAGCAATCAAATAAAGTGAGGACAACTCTTCAATCTATTTTGAAATTGAAGCTCAGAGAGGTTAAATAAGTTGCCCATATCAATGGCCAGAAAGTGAAGAGGGCACCTGTTCTCGAAGTCTGTCTTCTAAACAGTGTCCTCTATCCCTTCCTCAAGTACACACATTTCGAACATGAGGACAGGTTGTCAATTCAGGAAAAGGTAGCTTTATGTGCATTTCTAGAGCTGTAACTTAATTACAGTGTATCCACTGAGAAAAAAGCATGGTTTAACATGGTGTTTTCCAAAGGGTTATTCCATGCAACAGTAAAAGGGTTCAATGAATAGGGAGGTTTTTAAATTCCTAACAGAAAGTCCCTGTTTAACTTTAACCCACTGCTTTAAAAAAAAGCCTTGGATACCTTTTATTTGGGTGATACCTGTTAAATCCCTGAAAATGCTGTTTTGAGGAACATAACTTGGGAAAATGTTTTATTAACAGAACAAAGGACAGTAGGAGAGAGAATTCTAAGAATGAGGCAAGCCTGCAGCCCTGCCCTGGGGAAAGTGTACACAGCCAAACAGACCCTTTGGGGAGAAGCTGCACAGTTATTGGGAAGGAGTGCAGAACAACTGGCTAGGGACCCTTCAAATCTTCTGGTTCCCTTGCTGATAACTTGCTTACCCAGAACTCCTCTGATGAGAAACTGATTTTCTGGTATCTTTGTTTATAAGAAGAGAATGAAACATGAACAACTCAAATATCTTATTTTCTTGGAAATCATATTTTTGTGGTGATCAAATTCGACTTCATAATAAGTTCTTTGTGAAGTTAGCTAGTGGAAGTGGGTTTCCAAGAGGCCAGTTCCATTTGGGAACATGAGTACAGTATTTTTATCTCTAGGCAAATATCTCTTTTTGCATGGCTATTAAATATAGGTTTGTTTTCTAAAGCAGCAAAAGCTTGCCCCACCCAAGTATATGTTAGGCAAGTGGAACAATCCGAGCTCTGGATCAAGCATGGCCAGTGTTTGTTACCCTCTCTGCTCAGCTTCTGAATTCTTCAAGAAACCCACAGATTTCATTGGGCACAGTTTGAAAAATACTGGTCAATAAATAAAAATCTGTTCTTTATTCTGCACACTGATGAGTGCTATTTGCCAGCAACACACGAACAAAAAGCATATTCAAAATGCAACTTTACTTTTGCCGTCAGGCAGGTGGGAGCTTATCAAGACGAAAGTACAAGGCCTTGAACATTATCTGTCTTAAAAAAATATAGACATTTGATACAATTTAACTGTTAGAGACATTACCTAAATTTGGAATTGTATTCAATCTCACAGTCATCAATTCTTATGAAATATTGCCCTCTTTTCTGATAGATATCCTTCTTCAGAATTGCCATCAAGCCTGGAGAAAATGTTTCAGGGAGATTCTGAAAAATAAAACAAAAAACAAAGAACAAAACAGATATAATTAAGAAAATGATCCTAGATAATCAGTTGAAAGCACTACTATTTTAAACATTTAAATCTTATTAAATACCTGGAATGAAAGACAGCTCTAAGAGAACTGAATATTCAAAACTCACTGTAGATATTAAATGTGTACATATGTTATATATATATATATATATATATATATATATATATATATATATGAATTTTTTTTCTCTGACAGAGTTATCTATCACTTAAAATTTTTAGTCTTTATGCTCATTGTATATAGCATGTGTTGCTGGAAATAGGGAATTAGGTCATATTGTCCAAACACCTTCAAGAAGACACTCTCTCCTGTTTTCATAGCATTTTCAATCTTTTTGGAGTAATTGTTATCCTCAGCAGAGAGCTCTTGCAGCCCAGTTCCTTCCATCTGTTGGATCCAGTTGTGTGCTTGCTTGTGTGGGTCAATCATCAGTGGCCACTGCTGGCAATTCTTGATCAAGATGGCATTCTCTATTGAGTTCTGACCAAGAGGTAACCCCTGATTATGCCATTGGCGTATCTGGAATGAAACCATTAGTACTTTGAGATTTCATAAAATTCTTCACATCTTTAGTATACTCTGGGATACTTAAGGATTGTACAGAATCATCGCCTTCAGAATATAAAATAATCTTTCAAAAGACTAAATAAATGAACAATTTAAAGAAACTTGGATGTGAAATTTTTAAAATGGTAATTATTCACTAACTTACACCTTTTTGTTCATCAGTAAAGACATTTACAGGGCCCAATCACAAAAAGATACTGTGGGAGATATAAAAATATGAGAGTGCAGCTGTTTCCAAGGCTCTTAGATGTTAATGCACATACAAAACATGCAATAATACAAAGTTATACAAATATGATAACAGCTACTCTATTTCAAACCTACCACCTGACAAGCACATATGTGTGTGTGATTTAGTTAAATTACTCGAATGCCCTCATTTCTCAGGTGGAGGAACTAAGGCTAAAAGGTTAGGTTCCTGACCATGATCATAGTGACAGCATAGAGGCAGAGCTAGGATTTGACTCAGAAGCTGACTCCATGCCTATTCATGACAGAAAACAGTATGTTGGGAGAAAAAGGCCAAGAAATCTCAAGGATGTAGGAGAAGGAATGAGACATCGGGAACCTTCTGGCAAAAGGTAGCAAGGACTTCTCTGGAGAAATCAGGGATGCTTTACTACGATGAATTGCATACTCTTGAAGTCTGCATAAAAGGAAATATAAAAGATAATAAAAAATTCTGAAAAGTGCAAGTGTTCCTGTCACTGGAATGTAGACCATGTTTGAATATAGGCAAAGAAGACAGGAGTGAAGGTTGGTACGGTGAGAGGAACAGGCACCCTGAACTCAATAGCAAAGCAGAGATTCTATTTTCAAAAAGTAACCATTCTTTTGACTCCACTCCTTTCTTTCTCATTTTACTTATTTATATATTCCTGAACAATACAGTGTTGCTTAATTTTTGAACTTCAGATAAATGAAATCTTAAACCCTTTGTTGGGTGTCTGCCTCCATCCATGTTGTCTAGCTGTATTTATTCATTCTCATTGCTGTCAAGAACTCCACTTTATCAACATACCAAGATTTACTTATCTATTCTGCTGGGGAGGGCACTTGGATGGTTTCAAGTCATTCACTATTAAGAATAATAAATAAGTTTATTATTTTATAATAAACTTTTAAATGTCTATTGATAGAGTTATGTATGCATTTCTTGTAGGTAAAAAACTAGGATGTGAAGTTGGGTCATAGGGTGGTATATTTTAAATATTAGTGATGAAAAGCAGTTTTCTAAAATAATTATAGCATTTTACATTCTCATCATCAGTTTTGAGAATTTCTGTTATTCCATATCCTTGTTAACTCTTGATATTTTCAGTCTTATACATTTTTGTCAATCTGATAGTCTTCAGTGTGGTATCTGTATCATTTTGGATATAAGTTGCATACTCCTAATGAGCCCCTAATGAAGGTTATGTTAGCTGGCTAGTTGGACATATTCCTTTTTGTGAGCTGCCTGTTCAAGGCTTTTGCTCACTTATCTACTAGATTGTATATGTATTTATTTCTTACTGACTTTTACTAGTTCTTTTTATATTCCAGAGAGAGCCCTTAAACCTGAATAGCAGGTCTAAACTTTAATGTATATCTGCAAAAATTTGTATTTTTTTCATGTCTTCTTTTTTCAATTCTATCTTTTCCCCCTTGCCTTTCTATACTCCTAGTACAATGTTAAATACAAGTGTTGATAATGGACATCTCTTTGTTACATACATGATCTAGAAGGCAACATTTCACCAATGCCTCATTTTTTCAATTCTAATTTCTTCTTTGGCTTATGGCTAGTTTAGGAATATATTTCATCATTTCTCAAAATATGAGGATTTTCAAGGTATCTTAATACTGGTTTCTAGCTTACTTGCATTTTCGTTAGACAACATACTTTGTGTAATTTCAGTTCATTATCATTTGCTAAAACTTGTTTTATGGTCCATCATATGGTCAACTTTGGCAGTGTTTTACCTGTGTTTACATGGCATGTGCAAACTGTAGGCACTGGCTACAGTGTTCTGTATATTTCCATCAAGTCTATTTCTTTTTTTTAAATATTTATTTTTTAGTTGTAGTCGGATATAATACCTTTATTTTATTTATTTATTTATATGTGGTGCTGAGGATAGAACCCAGGGCCCTTTATGTGGTAGGCGAACACTATACAACTGAGCCACAACCCCAGCCCTCCATTAAGTCTATTTCTTGAGGAAGGATTCAACAGGGCAGCGGGCGGGGAGGCAGCGCTTTCAGTACCTCCTCAGCCACGTGGACAGAGAGACACATCAGAATGTTCGGATTCTGCCTGCTGAGAAACTCCCAGCAAAATTCCGCTGAAGTGAGACCTAGGCGGGGAGTTTGGGATTATTGGAGGAGACAGCTTGCCCCAGACGGGTGAATCTCGGCCACCCTGTGTGCGGAGGTGCAGGCCGCTGCCGCTGTCTGGCTATTGGCACAGAAGGAGGCATTTCAGCACTGCCGGAGATCGTGTGCGGCGTAGAGACTCTTTGAAGAGGTTGCTAACCAAGCCTTCATGAAACAGCGGACCGAGAACTGAAACCCAGACTGGGACAGACCAGAGACAGGCCAGACCCACCCCTCCCATCTGACACTCCTGCAAGGAGTCTGGGGCTGACATCACCATAGTTTGGCGGACGGGATCCCTTCCTAGCGGAATCGGCTTCAACAGGTGTGTGACTCCCATCCCCACCAGATACATACAGCTGGGAAACCTCAAAAATCTTACTCCAGAGCTCCGTGGACGTGACTGTAGGGGCCGAGGGAAGCAGAGGGGACTCCCGACCCCCAACTCCCCCTACTACCAGCAGCTACACCCAAGGCCTTAGCTGCCAGCTCCCTGGGGCATGGCCACTGAAGGAGTCCAGGCAAATTAAGCTGACGGTTCCCAGATCACCCGCTCCACAACCTTGGGGTCCGGTGAAAGGCAAACAGAGAGAGTGCTCAGTCGTTCGGGAAATAGGGAACTCAGGGGGGCAGCAAGTGTAACTAGATCTGTGGAGATAGCCTCTGGTGAGCAGGGACCGGCTGGCTGGCAGGAGGAAGGGGGGGAGGGGCCGGAGAAGAGACTAACAGGATTGGAGAGACGCCCAGTAGGGGAAGAGGAGCCACCTTACAGGGATTGCTGCTGGCACATAGAGGGCAGAAGCTCGGCTCAGAGGGCACAGCTCCACCTACTGGAAGAGAAGAAAATAGAACTCTAAGACTTTATTTATCATTTTTTTTCTTTTCCCTTTTCAATATTTATTGTTCTTTCCATTCTCCTTTATTCTACCTATTTTTATCTCCCTCTTTCTCTTTAAGGACTTCTTCCTTCCCCTTCCCCCTAACTTTCATCCCAAGCATTACGACTTTCATTACATGTAATTTTCTAAATGTAAATAGGTGAATGTTCTGAGGCTGTCTATAGGGCTCCTAAGTACCTAGCTATTTCCAAATACCCTGATCCATTCGCCTGTTAATATCCCCCTTCAGTAGAGCAATCTTCCAAAGTAGCCAAGATATACTAACCTTCATACCATCATAGCACCCAACCTAAATATAAAGTCCTAAGACCCAACAACAGATCACTATATGCCTACAGAATCTGTAAGCCTCTTATGAAAGGAATGAATCCGCTTTAAATTACAAGAAAGTCCAACATCTCTAGACATAGTCTCCCACCACAAAGGAGAGACCACAGAGATATACAAAACCAAAACAAATTTATAGGAGAAAACAGAAACACAGCAGTTAAACAGAGTTGGAAAGTAATGTGAACACCATGAAAAAACAAGGGAAAAAGGATTACAAACAATGCAGGACAACTTAAGTTTACAGGAGAACCTAGAGGCATAAGAAAAATGGACAGAGAAAGAACTCAAGGTATGCTTGACTCCGATGGAATGGAATCTTAAAGAAGTCATTAGACAGCAAGTCCAAACAATGAAAGAATACTTTGAAAATGAATTACACAAGCAGATTCAAGAAGTAAAAAATAAACTCTACCAGGAGATAGAGATTTAAAAAAAAAAATCAAACAGTAATCCTAGAAATGCAGGAAACCATAAACCAAATCAAAGACTCAAATGAGAATATTACAAGTAGATTAGATCAAATAGAAGTCAGAACATCAGATAATGAAGACAAAGTTTATCAACTCGAAAAGAGTATAGTCAACGCAGAAAGGCTGGTAAGAAACCACGAGCAAAACATCCAAGAGATACGGGATGTCATAAAAAAACCAAACTTAAGAGTCTTTGGGATAGAGGAAGGTATAGAGGTCGAAACCAAAGGAATGAGAAATCTTTTGAATGAAATAATTTTAGAAAACTTTCCAGACATGAAAGATGGAATAAATTGCCAAATCCTGGAAGCCTACAGGACCATAAACATACAAACCATAATAGACCAACTCCAAGACACATAATTATGAAGATATCCAACATACAGAACCAAGAGAGAATATTAAAAGCTACAAGAGAAAGGAGGCAGATTACATTCAGGGGTAAACCAATTAGGTTAATGGCTGAATTTTCATCACAGACGTTGAAAGCGAGAAGATCCTGGAACAGCATATTTCAAACGCTGAAAAATAATGGATTCCAACCAAGAATATTGTATCCAGCAAAATTAAGCTTCAGGTTTGACAATGAAATTAAAATATTTCATGATAAACAAAAGTTAAAAGAATTTGCAGCCAGAAAACCAGCACTGCAAAGCATTTGGAGCAAAACACTACAAGAAGAGGAAATGAAAAACAGCACCCAAAACCAACAGTGGGAGGTAACTCAGTAAAGGGGGGAAAAATAATCAAAGAGGAAAAACAAGCCAAATTAAAATAATAAATAAAATAAATAAATACATAAATAAACATGACTGGAAGTACAAACCATATATCAATAGTAACCCTAAATTTTAATGGCTTAAACTCACCAATCAAGCAACATAGGCTAGTAACT